GCTTTGATCCCCTGAAAGATTCTGAGGAGGTTGTTTGGGAGGACAGTTTATTAGGAAGTAGAAGACAATTAAAAAAAAATGTGCAAGCTTGGGTTGTCAGTAGCAGTTTACAGTAGCCAATGCAGTTAAAGAGGAGGGAACACAAGAGGTTTATCTTGAGTTTTACAGGGTTTTTGCTGTTGTCTGTGTTGATGTTAAAAAACAAGCTACTGAAATGTGGTCTGAAAAGCTTGCACAGCTCACTGAAAAAACCCTGCTTTTGAAGCTGATTTGTAACTAATTCACTTTTAAGCAGGGATGTCACAAAGCATCCTCCTGGTGAGTTATGTTTTGTGTTCGTGGTTTTTCTTCTGTAATGGTGAACACAAAATAGATATGTTGCCCAATTGGAAGGATTGCAAGCACTGTGCAGCTTAGGGTCAGAGTTCAAAAAGATCTTGAAGATTGATAGCGGAAATCAGTGTACTTAAGATCGGTTAAGAACTGAGGGAGGAAGAGAATACAGAGAGGAGAAAATCAAAGTCATAATTAGTGGCAAGGGTGTTACTGAACAGCAGTCTCCCCAAAAAGCACTTGAGCACTATAGTGCATAGGAAATTCAATGTTAATCGTTAATGTGATGTCCTTGCAGTTAGATGAATGTCATTTTGGCATGTTAACAGGTGATTAAAGGCAAAGAAAGTGATTGCTCTGTTGACTGAAGGCCTTTGCTAAAAGGTTGGGTTTTTAAACATAGTGTGTAGTTTTCTTGCCTCCACAAGTCTGATAAAACTTGATTTGTGAGGGGACATTTGAAAGACTTAGGCACACTAAAAAGGAAGAAACTAAGAGCAAATTTGACGAGAGCCTTCACATCTATAAAAGTTTCTCCATAAAGGCTGGTGATTAACTAGTCTTCAGGTTCTCTGTAGAGCAAGAGAAGAAATCATGCTTGTTGTTAGAAGGTAATACTTGGGTTGGGTGGTAAAGGAAAATGTTTTGGCTCTCTTGGTGAGACACTGAAGCTGGCTGTTAACAAAAATTGTGAAATCTCGTATTGGAGAAGTAAATGCGTGGACAGACATGTTGAGGACAGTCTGGTCTCTCAAAGGTCCTTATAGGTGTGAGTTTAAACAGTTCTGGGCATACTGACATGGTGGAGTTAGAAGTTTTAACTGGAGAAGGCTGCTTTGGAACCTGCAAATGTTTCCTTGAGCCTGATTTCCTGTGGAGCTTTACTAGGAAAGGACCATAATGTGTCCTCTGTCTTCCTTTCAGTGTGTTGTGGAAAACTTACGTGTGTGCTTAGTGAAGAGTTTGCTTTAAGGTACAAACCTTTTCAAAAGTGTCTTCCACTGGTATTCTGAGGAACACCTGTCAGTTTTTATTGTGAAAGGTAGACTGTTGAAGCATTTAAATACATTTTGCTCTGCTTATAAACTGTGTGTTTGTTAAAACATCTTTGATAGTTAGTACTTCACAGGGATGTTCTCTGGAAAAGAGCAAACTGCTTTACGGAAGATGCTGAGGGGTAAGGAGTTCAAGAGGCAGTGAAAATAAAAGCTTGACTGTCCTGTCTTGACCAAAGGATGTGCATACCATTTAGTGGGAAGTGGCAAAATACAAGTTTGACGTTGATCATGTCATTAAGATGTTAATGTATTAATATTGTTAAGAAGAAAACAGCATCCGATTAATAATCTTTTGGAATAACTGAATTCAAAAGCTGGAGATATTTCCAGCCAATGCTTCTGTAGATGCAGTGTCTTCTTGTTTTTCAGCATGTGTCAAGGAGAAGGGCTTTAGACAGATTGCTGCTTTTTATGTAGCCTGAAAAAAAAATAAACAATTCTTATTCAATTATCTTCTTGGGCTAAGATTTACTTTTAAAATTTTAATTGGTCACTAAAATTACTTTTATGGTATTTGTATTTCACCCAAAATGAGATACTTTTACTTCTGCTAGTAAAATGTCACGAAGTGTTACTTGAGTTGGCCTGTTGCTCTATCATTTTTCCTTAGTACTTCTATAAGCTTTCTATTTCAAAAATTCTTAGAGTATTGGGAAGCTTCAGCAAAGCTATCTAGAATGTGTTGTTACGAAGCTGGTTAAACACAAGTTCTATCATGAAAAACTGATTCGATGAGTTCAACTCATTTGTTAAAATATTATAGGCCTTCAGTCTTTCATATCACTAATGCACAATTTGTGGCTAACTGTAAACTGGAGTTTAGATCTGGATCCTCAGTAGCATTGCCTGTTAGATAGAAGGAAACAAGCTCAGTTTAAGACAGTAGAAAACGTGGAATGGTGTTTCTTGCTGTATGTTTGAGATTCCCCCAAAACATTTGCCTCAAACTTGGCAGTGTTATTTAGAAGTTGTCTCTGTATGCTGAAAGTTGAAAGGAATCTCAACATTGCTATCTTAAGGGATTCTGCATACTTTAAAATTCTAGTAATTTTTTTCTTTTTTCAAAGCATTTTGCTGGGTTTTGATGGAATGTTTGTATACTCTTTGTTTTAAGGTTCGGTTTTCCTTAATCTGACAACAGCTATTTCAAGGAATGAAGGTGTGACTACTACTTTTTAATTTTTTTAAAAAAAAGGAATGCAAAGACTAGCTGGTCATGATATTCAGGATATGTTCTTTTTCTCAAGTGAATAGCAGCTTTACTTTATGAAAGTTGAATTTTCTATGTTTTTTTTTTTTTTTAGAAGTGGGAAGAACAGCATTATTGGTTTCTAAATAAATATGAGAGTTAAAATGAGTGCAATTCAATCTCTATTAGTTAATTGTCACAAAAGTAACAGAACAGCATAGAGTGTGGACTAGTAGGTGATTTGAACTTTAAAATTCATGACTCCAGGAAAGTAGTCTCTCCAATACTTAAACATTGGAATTTTGGTGTAGGATGAGGATTGGACTAGATGATTTTTGCAGGTCCCTTCCACCGATCGAAACCATTCTGCAATTCTGTGAAAGATGTTTGGTTTTCAGATAGCTGTGAACTAAGTGTTTTGTAATTTTTTTTCCCAAGATTGTTTTAAATTCTTAGAAGATTAGAATACTTGGGACATTAAATTTATTAGTAGCAACTTCAAAAAAAACAAAGTTGCGTTTAGTAATTTTTTGCAGGTCCCTTCCACCGATCGAAACCATTCTGCAATTCTGTGAAAGATGTTTGGTTTTCAGATAGCTGTGAACTAAGTGTTTTGTAATTTTTTTTCCCAAGATTATTTTAAATTCTTAGAAGATTAGAATACTTGGGACATTGTTTTTTTTGAAGTTGCTACCAATAAATTTAAAGTTGCATTTAGTAATTAAAATAAGTTATTTTCTATTTTAGTCTATATTGTACAGATGTACAGGTTTGTAGTGTAGCCAACTGAATAGAGAACTTTTTTTTTTCTAAAAGGGCATATTATAAATACCTGATATAAGTTGAAAATGAATAATGTGATATTTAAATACAGTGACTAGGAAAGATTTATGTGTTAGTGTCTTCTTTTAAGAATGGCTAAATGGATTGCCTTTTGAATTTTTTAGTTTTTTTGAATGAAACTTCTGCATGGACAAGGACTTTAAAACATCTTGTTGCATGGTTTTTTAATTGAGTGGCATTAGGATTAGTGTATCTGTGACTTATGAATACATATGTGATATATGTAGGATGAGCTGTGTGGAGTTCAGCTCTTTCGTGAGAGGACGATGTTGGAGCAAGGCTTCCTGTTTGTGGCCTTTTGTGACACTTGCTGCTGTTAGTACTTAAATTTACTACACATGGTTTATTTCTTGAGGTTTTTTGTGGTAGTCAGGAGTGCAGTCTTGTATATGAGCAAGTGGCAAAAAACACCTAGACGTGTCTCTCAAGTCTGCTTGCAAAGTGAATAAAAAAGTTCACCAAGAGCCAACAGAAAATGTTTTTGGGCAGCAGTGTACTCTGCAGAAATTGGATTTGCTGTGTCTGAAAGACTTTTCTTATCTAGAAAATCTCATCTCTGCCTTGTATCACATCTGTAGTAGGTAAGGTCTGGATCATGTGGATACTAGCCTAGTTCAGTACCTCAGTTGCTCTCTATGTGAGGTACTGGAAGACTTTTTCTGGCATTAGCAGAGCATTATATGATGTCATGCATCTAAGCCAAGGATTAAAAGTCAACTCCTAATCCCCTGGCTCTTGAGTGCTTTATGTTTAATTTTAAGCATTAATGTAGTTTCTTGCAATGGAACTTATTTCTTTGGAATACTTTTTTCTAGGAAGTAGTAAGGTGCTCTGTGATGTATAAAAGACAGCATGATTATGTTGTAGTACGTATATGGTAGTAGTCAAATTCTTGAGACTAAATGTGAATACTTGAGCAGTGCTAGTCACATGTTAATGATTTCAGATGAAGTTGTGAAGTTAAGGAAATGGACCATGGCTAAATCTAGCAGTAACCATTCCCTAACAAATTAGGGGCTTTATAGCTTGTTTGTACTCTCATTTCCTATTTTTAAGGAGAAGTATCTCCAGGAGTACAGGCTTGCTCTAGCTTCTGAATAGGCTTTTCAATTTGCAGAAAGAAAACTAAGTCTATGTGGGAGGGAAATGAAGTTGTATGGGTAGCCTTTATATCAACAGAGTCTGTTTTAATTTAAGAACAAGCAAACTGCAAGAAAACCATAGCATGAAAACCTGACTAACTCTGCATGTGTGAATTAGAATGATACAAGTAAAATGTCTTAACGATGTTCCAAGTGTATATTGCATTTTTAAGGACACCAAACTTACCTTTTAAGGACACCAAACTAACCTTTTATTTGAAGAAATATTTTTTTTTTACTGTATAGATGTTCTGTGCATGTGCTACAATGTGTACATATATGTATACTTATGTATATATAAAATACGTTCTGTAGACTATTCTTTCAATGTGAGGCCAAAGAGTTAAAGTGTCTTATGTGGGTAAACACAACCTTTTAATTTTCCCATGGAGCTAAAAATGTATCAACTAACTCACTTGTTTTCTTCTACTAGAAATGACAACCCCAAACAAGACCCCACCTGGTGCTGACCCAAAGCAGTTAGAGAGGACTGGTACTGTTAGAGAAATAGGCTCCCAAGCAGTTTGGTCTCTTTCATCCTGTAAGCCAGGTAAATTCACAACAAATGATGTAAAAAAACCTGAATGTACATTTTTCTTCTTAGAATGTAGTTGCTTTATGTTTGATAAGACCTACATACAGAGTGTAGTGGTAAAACTGCTGTTTAAGTTGTACGAGTAGCCACTATGAAAATTTTTGGCCTAGTCTATATTTAATGCAATATGAGATTTATAAATCATATGATGAGGAAATATCTCATTAACAAAACAGATCTTTTACTGAATTTATACTAAACTTTTGAAGGTTTGTGTTGTTGGGTTTTTTTTTTACTAGCACAGTGAGCAGACTAAAAAACCATGTGAGCAGAAACACACTCAGCACTGTTTAATTGTTTCTGTGCTTTGGCATTTTGCCTGAGTATCTTTGATTTTTAAACCTAGACAAACCATGCAGCTGCATGACCTAAATGTTCTCTCCAAACTTTGTGTGGACTTGGTAATTATAGTGTAGCTTCCTAAAATCCTGCAAGTAAAATAAACTATCGTAAATGGTCCTGAGATACAGTTGATAGCTTGCACCTTCTCAGAATACCTGAAAAATCCGTATTCTTCAGGTGATTTGAGTTGCTATTTCAGAAATACTTGTCAAGGGGATTGATCCTGTATCTTCTGTAGTCTAGAGTCAAGGATCCCTTTATGTCACAATGTTGTGCTCAGGCTGTGTCTTTGGTATGATATCAGGTATCTTATCTGGAGGAAAACATCATATGGCTTAGTCACTTCAAAACTAGTGAAGCTAACTTTTAACTGCAGATTAAACTTCAGCTACTAAATTAAAATTGCAGCTTGTGGGTAATCAATGAAAAGAGCTGATTATTAAAAGGAGAGATAACAAAGGAGTGAAAAAAAAATAAAGATTTGATGTTGTTTCTTTAAATGTGACAGCATTAACCTTGAGGAATACTGTATTTGGCATTTCTTGCTTGTTCTAGCTATGAACTTTAAAAACTATGAAATATTTCAGGAGGCTATTTCAAAATGTTATACTTGGCTAAAATTTTACAGTAAATGAATGGCCTCTGCTAATAACTTTTCTTTAAATCAGCAGTTAAACTTTTCCATCTATTCTATAATCTAACCATTAAGTATTGTTCTTGCAGTTAGTATGAATTACAACTTAACCTTTTGAAATTCCAGGTTACGTTGAGTGGTTTCAAACCCGTGTTTGAATGTAAAGACCCTCAAATACCGAGCTTCAGTAGATTCCTGTTTCGGTTTTGTGTCACAAAAGCATAGGCACAACTTGAATATCTAGAAGTATCTCCTTATGTGTTATAACTTAGAATAGATATATTAGTATGCCTACATCATGGAAATGGGATATTGAAAATTATCACTTTTTCTTTTTCTTAGGATTTGGAGTGGATCAGTTACGAGATGATAATCTAGAAACTTACTGGCAGTCAGATGGATCACAGCCTCATTTGGTGAACATCCAATTTAGGTATTAAGAATTATTCTGCATGGGTTAGGGTGTTTTGTATAAATTTATGTTGGTTGGTGTTCACCACAATAGGAATTTTGGAAGTGCAAAGACTCCTTGGTTAATTCTCTTACCAGACTAGCAAGAAACCAGTTAGGTAGTATTTATAAAAGATTTTTCAAATGTTGCGGTTACTAAATGCCTGAAGAAGCAGCAAAAAGGAGTGTTTAACAGTGTGTCATTTGCAGCAGTTTCATATGTCACTACCTAAGGTGATGTTTTTGTACTGACTTTGTGTTTGAGTGTAGCTTGCAGGGTAGATTACTGTTTTTAAAATAGTTCTGTATGACTTAACTGAATGTTTGAGAACTTTTCTGCTTCTATTCTGTGCAGGATGCTTTCGGTCCTTTTTTTTCCTTTAGCTAGACTCTGAAGATGAAGTTAAATGTTTGTCGCATGTTATTTGCTTTGTGGAGAATTCTATGGTATAGTCATAGAGCCTGTATTTGATAAGATAGACATATGCTTAGTTGGCATCTTGGCCTTTTGTTGTATTTCTTGGTAAACTTGCGCTTCTGAAGGCAGACAAAAGAACAGTGAAAATCAACAGTGTGTGCATAGCATGATGTGGAAAATACATTGTTGCTTTAACAGCCGGTTTCTTCTAAATCAGTAGATACACTTGTATTAAGTTTTAGGACGTTTAAATCGTTAGTTATTACAAGCTAGCAACAAACTCATCCTGAATGTTTTTTATTTATGATGTTTACATAGCTTTTTTTGCTTCTTGCAGAAGAAAAACAACAGTGAAGACACTATGTATTTATGCAGACTACAAATCTGATGAAAGTTACACTCCAAGCAAAATCTCTGTCAGAGTAGGAAATAATTTTCATAATCTCCAGGAAATCCGGGTAGGTCAATGATGCTTTGCGTTCTGTCTTAAAATAGTCCTCTCTCTTTAGGACAACTGATGTAATAAAATTGATTTTGTAGGTAAAATAGGCATTGTGCTTGGAGAAAATGGCTGAGTTTATTTTGATGTTTCCTTTTAGTTTTTAATCTTGTAAATTTAATAGGCTGATTTCTGTTGGGTTTTATTTTTTTTAATCAGGCATAATTACCAAAATGAATATAATAGACTTTATGCATCAATCCTGTAATTGAGTAAGGAATGGTGTTTTTCAGAACAGAGCTGTTTAGAATTGGTTAAACTTTGATCTCACTTAAAGTATCTGCAAGCCCAGCAGATTGCATACATCAAAAGGGAGACTTAGCTTTTACATACTTGCCTTTTTAGACATAAATGAAAAGGCATGCATTAGAGTTTTCATGAACGAGTTGCTCAGCTATTGAGTCTTAAGTTACAACTGTGTATGGTGCAAAAATGTATTTGGAGTCTGGATTTGTTTTTGGAAGGCTGCATGTACTCCTGTTAACTAATAGCATCTGATTGAAAACTCATTTTGAGACCCTGGCACAGAGAAATTGGGGTACAATGCCTAACATCAGTTATGCAAAAGTTTCTTTGTGTTCTGCTGGTTAGAGAATCTTCATGTAAATGAGGATCCGTTATGTATTTGCAAATAGCTGGCTCAAGCCACTGCTGATGGAGGTAGTAGAATTGCCACATTAACTTTTCCAGAATCATACACAAAGCAAGCAAGATATCAGTTTATATTGGTAGTCTAATGTAAATTACAGTCACATGTTCATAAATGATGTTTTATTTTTCAATATAGTTTCCAATCTTTTGCAATGTGTTTTTTCTTAATACTGAATGGTCACTGAGATGTAGAAATTTTGGAAGGGATGCAGTATTTTTGTTTTTAACAGTATGATGGAAAATCCATTTTCTGTGTTTGTAGATAGGATGTTTAAAACGTAAGACTTTGAATGGGACGTGTTTAGTTAATAGTTTTATTTACAAAAGTGTAGTTGTCTAAATCAGTGTTTTTTCCATAGTGACACTTCTAGCCAGAAAAAGTTTCATTGATGGAATTACTGATTTGAATTGCTTTAACTGCTTAGTTTTGCTAGCCATTTGGTAAAAAGTACAAGCAGATTTGAAGTAACTAATGATCTCTGTAGAAGCCCACTTTGTAAACTAAATTGGGTTACTCATGAGCAGCTATCTTTGCTGATTTTGAGTTAGTGTAGCCTCTTCTTCTGTGGAGCTCAGCAGCTACTGGCTAATATATTGGGAAGGTTTAATTTACCTCCCTTATATGGCAGCTATTACAATAACAGAAGGATTGGGATGATGAGATAAGGGAGATACTAAAGAGTGGTTTATATTTTTTACTTTTGGGATTTTTATTATTTTCACTTGGTTTTCAGTGTTTCAAGTCCCAACAAAGGCAACTTCTAAGTAGAAGATTGTAGATGAAGTGGGAATAGAAAGTGTAGTAAACATGTATGCCTCTATTGTGTTGGCACTATATACCTATATCCTTTCTGCTGTTTGTGACGTTCTCTCAAGTTTTGACCTACAATTTTATCCTAAATCTTAAATGGAATGGTATTGAGGTTTGGTTTTTTTTTATTTAAAATAATATTTCGAAAGAAACTAATCGTCATATTTAACTTTCACGAACTGCTAATTCTTACAACCTTATTAATCACATTGTGGCGACTGAGGGGAGTTGTGCCTTGTCTGACAGTTAACAGCCGCGGGATCTTTCCGTTAGGCCACGGGTGTGTTTTCTGAGTGTCCACGAGATGTCGCTCTTGTCCTTAATTACCAATATGATTTTTTGGGGCTTGTCTAATCTTTCAGTAATTAGATGGTTATCCTTTTATAATAATGTTCAGTACAGCATTACATGCATGACTGCAATAACTTAAGTTTCTTGAACAGTGGTAAGCTTCCACTTTTGAGGGTATACTTGCTGTTAGTGATCTGTAGAAACAATAAAATGTATAATAAGCATATTAGTTTTCTGCAGTTTCTCAGGTGATTTCTTTAGCTTTTTTCCCTGCTAAAGGCAAGACTCTATACAAAATGTGCTTAAAAAGGCACTTTTTAATTAAAAAGTTACTAGTATTTTTTATGGTATATTAATATGCCTGCAATTTGTTGCATGAGAACACTAAATCTTATGCATACCATACTCATACTTCTTTTTTTACTTTAAAACTCAGATGAAAATATGTTCAAGCCACTCTACTAATGAGATACAATACTCAATCACTAGTATTTTACAGCATCAAATTTTGTCACGCCTGCCATATTAAATATTGCAATCAATTTCTGTTTTCCTGAACTGCTTGATACTAGGAATTTTTCTTGAATTTTCCTTGAGTCCTGAAACTTTCTATTTTCTTCAGCTTCTCTGACACATAAGCAGGTTATTAAAGCAGTGTGAACTGTTACGAGCTTTTTAGAGAAATCTGCTTAATTATGTGATGATTCCGTTGGCTTCAGGACTGATTAACTGGGTGGAAAATCCAGCTAAATCATTTTATATTTTTCCATGGATGCTTGCCCAGCTCCTAGTGTCTAATGAAAGTCCTGTGATGCCTCTATGTGTTTTCTTCTTACTTGTCTGATTTTCAAACAATGTAGTGTGCTGTTAGGCTAGGTTTCATCAGTAATGTAATATTAGCTTTAGTATATTGTCTAGTATATAGGCACGTCCTTTTTGTAACTGAAGATGAAATTTTCTGAATAGAACTGCTGTGGATTGTTGTTTTTCCCTCTGTCTGAGAATCAAGTTATTTGTACCTCATCCTATGGGTGAGATCAGCTGTCATAATCTAGTAGTATTATTCCTTTTCTCAGATGGAGGAACTACAGTTAAGAAGTGTGCAGTAAGCCTTCTCCTCTGACTTAAGCAGATTTTTGGAACAGCTTTGAAGCTTAAAAAGCAGCTATTTTCTAATTTACAGTCTCAGGGTTCTCCCACATAATGGTGCAAACAGTCTAGATGGACGAGGTAGTCTGTAGAGGCATTTCTGTAGCAGTGTCCAGGCTCTTCAGTATGTGATTTAAATTTAACATGCTTTCTCATGATATAAAAATAACCCACAATGATGTGGGTGAAAATAACTCACCACAAAAGATGTGAGTGAAATCTTGGCTGCAGGAGATCTCTGGTCTCTTCAAATAATGCTCACTTGCCTGTTGCCCATGTATCTCTCAAAGATGTTTAGGTCATCAGTAGTTCGTCCTAGAAGAAAAAAGATTGTGTTATGTTAAATGCAGGTAGGATTTCAGGTTATATTCATCTAGTATTTCTATTGACTTCTGCTGTCAACCTGTAATGTAGGGTCATGGCACAGCAAAGCAAGACACCTGTGCAGTCTTGTGCTAGCCACTTCTACACCTTTGGATATGAAAGACACTCTGCAAGGGTCTGGACAAGACTTCCTGAAAATAGTTACTCACTTCTTGCATTAGTTCATGTCTGAGAAGCCACTGCTGTTTAATCCATAAATTAAAATTGCTTTAAGAGGCAGAACCCCTCCTGGAAGAGGCCAAGTCTTCTATTCTGCTGTTCCCTGCAGAGGACTCTACAGCAGGATGTGGTGTACATGCCTAGTTGTAACTAGGTAAGGCACAACTAGACAGGCGTAAGTTATTTCACTTTCCAGTAGGTATTAGTTCTTTCCACACATTTTTTTTTACCTTCCCATGATTTTTTTTATTTGGTGTAGGGTGTTTCACTTAGTTTGCGTAGCTCAGAGGAACTAGCAAGATTTTGACAGGACCAACCCATTGCTAGTGCATGGCATTGCTGTGTGTACTTAGCTTTTCAAATTGCTTAAGGATGGTAATAATACACAGGCCAAATAAGATGTATTAATGTCCAGGCCTAAAAGGACATTATTGAAGGGAGTGTTGGGGGGACAGGAAGGCTCAGGCCATGACTGTGCTGTCCTTAGGCAGCAGGGTAAATATGCAAACAGATGGCATCATGGCTTTGTGTAACCTAGGTAAACAAGGTGTTTACTCTTTGCTTCTTTGGAAGGCTGTTCAGTTTGAAGCAGTGTTACTGCAACAGGGTAGCTCCCCTGGTTGACATCCTTCACAGGTAGGCAATGCTCTGTTACTGGATGGTGACGGATAGCCTAGGTGTAGGATAGAAAGCGGGTAGCTGCTGGTGGTCCTGTGTAGCAAACTGCATCAAAGAACGGTTCTAAGTATTAAACCTTGCTTTGGAAGGGACCTGCTCTCACTCTTTAACAAAAAGCCTGCATCAAGACTCAGTTCTGAAGATCACTCTGAAGACTCAGGAGGTGAAAGCCCCGTTATCTTAGTACATCTTTGCTGGCAACAGTGCATTGTTTCAGCTTTTTGTTGTCTTTTATTGGATTGCTGCCCACTTTGTTTTGTAGCCCATTTGGTCTTGCCTGATATTTTGTAACCAGGTACTCCAAGAGGGGCTGTTGAGTACAGCCATCTCCCTGGTGGCATGTTGGGGTGACCAAGCACCACGGACAGGGCCACTGCTTCACTGCTTTAAGAGATTCTGCACTAGAGCAGGGAATTATGAACCAGAGGAATGCCCAAACTGGGGAGCTCTTCTGAGCAGTAGTTAAGGAAGTATGACCCTATTGTAATCACTTTACTCCTACAGTGTCCAGTAGAAGTAAAGTCCAGTGAAGAGGCTGGACTTCTCAAGACAGTTTCTGATATTCAATAGCTATTCAACCTGCTTTCTATATGTGAAGTAAACTTAGGTACTGAGGAACAAGAAGATGCTAACTTGTCATAGGACTGTTGCAAGCTAATGAGTCAAGAAAACATACTGCTGCTGAGTTTCTGATCAAACCTCTCTAAGATGCATTTTAAACTGCTTTCCTTTGAAGATGGAGTACTGAGTTGTTACTGCTTTATTTAGATCCCTGAGTAGGCTTCAACCTAGTATTTTGGTTAGAAACCATCCCTTTGTTTTTTCTTGAGTATAAG